AAGCAGGGAACCATTTGAGATTCGGCCTGTTTCATTTTATTATCATTTTATTCATTTCCTGTTTACAGAATTCTTGAAATATTTATTAAAACATTAAAAATACCTTTTGCTGTGCTTTTTGCACTTTTCCTAAGTATATATATATATATATACACACACACATATATATATATATATATATATATATATCACACATACTTGGGTGGTGGAACACTGTGTCCACTCACTGTCCACTCTATTAAACACTCCTACCTTGTCAGTCCACCTTGTAGATGTAAAGTCAGAGACGATAGCTCATCTGCTGCTGCACAGTTTGTGTTGGTCATCCTCTAGTCCTTCATCAGTGGTCACAGGACGCTGTTGGCTGGATATTTTTGGTTAGTGGACTATTCTCAGTCCAGCAGTGACACTGAGGTGTTTAAAAGCTCCAGCAGCACTGCTGTGTCTGATCCACTCAGACCAGCGCAACACACACTAAAACACCACCACCACGTCAGTGTTACTGCAGTGCTGAGAATGATCCACCACCCAAACAGTACCTGTTCTGTGAGGGTCCATGGGGGTCCTGACCACTGAAGAACAGGGTAAAAGGGGGCTAACAAAGTATGCAGAGAAACAGATGGACTACAGTCTGTAACTGTAGAACTACAAAGTGCACCTATATAGTAAGTGGAGCTGATAAAATGGACAATGAGTGTAGAAACAAGGAGGTGGTCATAATGTTATGCCTGATTGGTGTATATATATATATATATATATATATATATATATATATATTAAAGATGTTGAAGACTGTAAATAAACATGTCTTTTTAAGAAAAATGTTGAACTATTTCTTTTAAGAGTTTCTCAGGGAGGAGTTGTGATGGGCAGCCGCTGATATTTCAGCAGAAGTATGCTGGCAGTGTGGACCTCAGCACCCCTACAGGATCTTCATATGGTTCTACGCACTCAAGGGACGTCCACAGTCCAAAAGACGTGATGCCGGTACAGAAAGAATTTTCTTTTAATGTGCCTTTTATTCACATTATCCACTCAGTCCTGCATCCTTCTTGGACTAGGTTTAACAGTAGATGGCAGTAAGTGTCCAAATGCTGTGATGTCTCACCTTCCACCCAGCAAAGTGTCCTGCGTGACCTGAGAACAAAGAACTGGATTCATAATTGTGAAGGACTGATTATGAAAGAAATCACCAACCCTCCAGAGGCCACACCTTACAGGAGCTCCTATCACACAGAGCACTGCAGCCCTGCCGCCAGCGCTCAGCCCGCAGGAGCTGCTGGCCAAGCCGCACTCTGGCACCAACACAACATCCTCACAGGTACTTCAGAGGCTCGAGCTTTTAATCCAGTCCTGGATGACACTGAACCAAAGTTTCTTTCTCTGTTAAAGTAGCACTCCAGCCAGAATGAACAACTTGATCATCTTTTATAAACATGCTCTTACAGCGGTGCTATAGTACGTCCTGGTCTAAAGACTCGGAAAACCCCCTTCTGATGATGTATCTACAGGGCGTCCCAAAAAAATATACATAATTTCGTGGTCTAATAACAGCCAATTCAGCTGTGAAATCGGTTATAAAATCTACATCCCTCTGAATTTCTTGTTCAGATTTTGATAAATAAATCTTGTATTGTTCAACATGAAGCCTATTGAATTTCGTTTGCCTGGACATGTAGTTACTCAGATATTCACATCTCAAATGATGTCAATTTTTTTGGGACACCCTGTACAATTTGAAACACTACAAGTGTAAATATTTAGAAGCAGCCTGTTCAAATTTTTTTCATTTCAGCTTGTTTCATTTTTTTTTTTGCTAGCTTCTTGTTGTTTAACAGAATTATTCCTTCAACAAAGAAAATGTTTGATGATCAGTTATGGTTATTGCTATATCATTAATTCTAGCTGGCACTATAGATAGTAATTATAAGCCTCTATGAGTGTACTGATTCACAGAATTCGTACAGCGGAGTCTTGATTTGCTCCATTTTTCAATATACAGCGAAAATGAGGAGTGGCTAAAATGTGCCTTATATTAATATGTTTCCATTTTCAGTTTGTTAAAGCATTCAGTATCGTAAACTACAGTATTTGGAGCAAAAGTTGGGTCTCATAATGTCCCAATCTGACGCTCTGTTCTCAAGCTAAGATTTTAGGCCCAAGCCAAAATGCTAGTTACGATACGATGCGATAACATTTGATATGTTGTATTATTACGTCTGTATTAGCCTCTAGATAAGTGGCTCATAGACTTGCTGAGCACTGTAGGGATTAGTGATTCCCAATGATGTATTTGCGCAGTGCATGATGGGTATTGTAGTGAGAGACCAGTAATGGATGAAAACACAAAAAAGGTTATAAATTGAGGATTCTGTTATTCTGTCAAGTTGATGAGGCTGCCGGTTGTAAAAGGCGCTATATAAGTAAATTTTGACTTGACTTTGCTCATGCAGTCTTTCACAGAGTGGTGAACCTCTCCTCATCTTTACTTCAAAAAGACTCCGCCTCTCTGAGATGCTCTTTTATACCCAATCATGTTACTGACCTGTTGCCAATCAACCACCAGGTGTTTTTTTAGCATTACACAACTTTATCAGCCTTTTGTTGCCCCTGTCCCAACTTTTTTGGAACGTGTTGTTGGCATCAAATTCAAACTGGGCTATATTTTTCAAAAAACAAAGTTTCTTAGTTTTAACATTTGATATGTTGTCTTTGTACTATTTACGATGAAATATAGGGTTTAAATGATCTCCACATCACATATGTGTATATATATACATTTATATATATATATATATATATATATATATATATATATATAAAACCTAGTTCAGTTTTGTTTGGTGTCTGAAGTTTGCACCTTTATTTAGGGTTGCTATGAGGCTAATGCAGCTAGCAAAAAGTAGAAACTTTTAGCTTAAAAATAATCATGGTGCTAACTGTGCACGTCTAAAACATCACACGCTTGCCTTAAATCATGTGGAGTTGTTAAGTAATCTCTAAAAGACTGGCTTACTGGCTTTTTTTTTGCTCAACTGTTACTCTGCTCTCAAACATTGGCTACAACTGTTTTACCCCACAGGAGAGGATGGAGGCCCAGTCGGCCCTGGGAAGCCAAGGAGGCAGTCTAGAGAGAGGCTGCTGTGGGCTGCTCGCTGCCGGGAGACTGACCGTTTCTCTCTCTGCCTGTACTGAACTGCTGAACTACCCATTAAAGGGCCCATATCCACTTATGTTTCTGCAGCTTTAAGTATCACAAAGTCATAATTTATTTTTCATGACCATTTTCAAACCTTACTGACCAGAGTTGAACAAGGTGCTTCTGATTGGATTCAAAAACAGTCCAAGCTGTAACACTCCTTATAACTTTAATGTGACTGGCAGGGTTGAATAGGTTAGGTTGTTTTTGTAACATCACAAAAAACACAGAATAAAAAAACTCTTTCTATATATGGGTTTTGTAGACTTGGGAGTGAGAGGAACTTTTGGACACCTTTAGGAATGTTTACATGCTACATCAAACACTAAGTGATTGTGTTTTTCCATGATACGGTACCGTTTAAAGAATAAATTAATCCATCATTTATCTTATTTTACACTCATTTATAATTATTCAAGAGCTGGAATTTCCAATTATTTGTCCTAATTACTGTTTACATCTGTAGGTGACACTGCACAGGGTTATATGAAGGCTCAATTTTCTCAATATTACAATATGGTAAGCTTTCAGTACTTCCAGTTCTTACAGCCGAGATCATGGAAAACTGGATTTTCTTTTTTGAAATAAAAGAATTTGGTGTAGTATGTAAACACTGGTACAGTTTCAAAGGTACTGTTCACTTCCTAGTAAATACACAGAAACTAAGCTGTGAAAACTGCCTGTTTTGAATTAAATGTTTTTGTAATGTAACAAAAACCAAAAATAATAAAAATTATAATCATTGAGTCTACAGCAGTTTAGACCCACCCAGTCACAGTGAAGTTATAAGGAGTGTTTCAGCTCAGACTGCTTTTGAACAAGGCACAATACACGACAGCCAATTAGTATTGAGCTCATTTACATATCTTAAAAACACAGTAACAAACTGTTTAATTGTGATAAAGGTTGGAAAGTGAAAACGTACAACTTAGGCCCAATCCCATTACCACCCTAGCCCTACTCCTCTTTTTTGTGTGTTCACGTCTAGGGGTAAGGTGTCCCGATTCTTGTTGAGATAGAAGGGTAGGGTGAAGTGTTAGGGCTACATGGCCCTCCAAACTGAGGTTTTTCAGAGACACAGTCCCAAAGAGAATTTTGTAAAGTATTTCCCGTTAAAAAATTACGATAACCATTGTATTATCTTAGTTTGATGTTGTTTCAATGTATTATGATCGTTTTCTTCATAACAAGCTTAAAAAAAGTCTAGTATTATGCTGATACCTTAGTAGCTAGCTAGCTAAATTTTCCATTCCACCTTAAATGGTGCAGCAGTTCCATTCTGGCACCTCAGGCTTCAGAACTGCTGTACCATTTAAGGCGGAACAGGATTTTTTTTTAAAAAGCTGGCAAATATCTGACTTCATCTTTATATCACTGAAGAATTAGGGGTGGGTGATAATAATTGTCCCTTTGAAAGCATATGATGTCCTAAATGTAACTAAAGCCCAGCAGTGAAGTTGGTGAACTTTACCCTCCTCTGCTATCATTGCAGACTGGCAGGGTCGCCTATAGAGCAGCGCTAGTAGCCTGTTGATTTGATTGGGTCTTAGAATCAACTCCTTTGTTTCCCTTAGAATCGGAATCGACTTCAGAATTCCTGGAATGAAACAGCCCTAAATATTAGTCTCAGAAAAGAAAATGTGTCATCTACACTGAAATCCTCAGAAATCCCATCGTTCAATGAATGATCAAAGTATTAGCGAAAAGCAGCTACGCATGATGACAAACTTTCAAATCTAAAATAAATACTTCTTACAGAAATATTTTTAAATCAATTTTATTAAGGTAGAATTGAGAATTGAGAAAAAAAAAGGTTGAAATGAGCAGGTGAGAAGACAAGACGTGAAGACTGTAAGACCTCAAACACACACAGACAGACAGACGTACACAGATATAGCAGTCAAAGAGGACACGTATATTTACAGTGGTAACCCAGGAGTCAGCGTGAGTCAGCGTGAGGGGTCAGAGCTGGAGGAGAGTAATTAAAATCAGCACAGCAGTACAGGTCAGCACCCCTCGTGCAAGCATTCACAGGGCACCAACGCACAGCTTCAAAACATCCAGTTTCTCCTGGTTTCTCCCAGTTTCTTCCAGTGCAGTTTTAAAAATAATTCTAAACACCTTTAATTATGTGGTGCTGCAAGGTATGATTACCGGTCACGTCCTACAGCAATCGAGAACAAGAACAAGCTACGCTGAGAGCCGAGTATGTATTTCAGTAGTCGCCTCATTGGCTTATAAAAGGGAATGGCTTTAAAGCGGTAATGGGTTTCAAGATTTCGCAAAAAGTGAATACCTTAAGCACTGTTACACACAAACACACAGATGTAAAACATATGATGATGCATCAGTTTGGTAGAAAATATCCAAGCTCTGCCAATCAAGGTGAAAAATGTGAAATTCCGAATGGTGAAGTGAAGCCTAGAAGCGACTGGCTGGTGTTTAAGCCTTTAGCTAGTCTACATATTTGCTTCTTTCTCCAAGTCACTGGAGCTCAAGCCAGAACTTCATTGGTCTGTGCCATTATGTAAAGTACAGATGGGGAGATGGCCATGTTCAACTCTTAAATACTCCTACATAATTCCTCTCAACCTTTTGTCATCGCGCTGCAGCACGGTTTCACTCATTCTTCTTCTCCTTGTGTTTGAGCAGCTTGTTGATCTCTCTCTTGGCCATGCCGGCGTACTTGGTGATGATGCCGTGCTGGTTGAGGCCAGGCAGAAGCAGAAGGAAGCTCACTGGAGGGGGGGAAAAGGAAAAAGAATATGAGCAGGCAATCTGCAACATATCACCAGAGAGGTACCTGTCAAACTAGCTATTTAACAGCTGGATTTGAAGGGTGTAACTTTGTGCTGAGGGAAAAAAAAGCAGAAATGCCTATATAAAAAAAGAAAAGCTCCCCATAGAAGTGAAACAGAGCCCCCTTTTATTCTCCTTTAAAGAGCCCATATCATGGAAAAACTTTTCCTCCCTTTTTTTGGGAAAGAAGATTTTTACACAGCATGTAAACACTGTTCAAGTTTCAAAAACGTACTGTTCACTCACCAGTGCGTACACAGAAATTAAACATCAAAACTATCCTGTTTTCCATTTAGTTTTGTGAACACATTTACATAACAGTCACTGAACTTTCCAATATTCAAATAGTCAAAAGTTTTAAAAAACAGTAAATGAAGATTTCTGATACACATTATACTGTAGCTTCTCTCTGAACGTCACACACACTCACATTAAAGTGGCCCAAATCTTGTAATTGTGTACATTCATTTTTTTTTAAATAAAAGTTTGATGTCATATATAGACACTTAACAATTCCAGTCCATACATGAAAACGAAGCTGTAAAAACAGCCCATATAAATTCACCACTTCTGTCACAAAAAACAACCCTTTACATATTTATGGCTATTCAGCCTACAACAGTTCAGCCCCGCCCACTCATGCTGATTTTATAAAAAGTGTATCAGCCTGGACCACCTTCTGAATGAGGCACAATACAGTGCAGCCAATTAGAACCGCGCTCATTTACATATATTGGTCTTAAAGGTACAGAAACAAAAACAGCCTGTTTAATTCTAAGGGATAAAGAAAATGTTTTTGGTTTGACCTGTCCATGGTGTATCCATGCCTCCACCCAATACCCAATGACAGCTGGGATAGGCTCCAGCACCCCCCACTACCACACAACACAGCAAACTGCTACAGCACAGGAAGCGTCATAGAAAAGCGCCAATAAACAAGCTCAATTCATACTCTTATAACCTTAATGGAATAAAAATTGAACGTTATCACGGTATCAGCTCACTAACTCTTCTTCTGAGCTAAAAGGTATGAGGCACAGTACGATGTAACTCAATAACCTTAGGTAACAGACGATTAGCATTTGTCTGTTTATCTTAAAGACTCCAGATTGTCTGCTTTTCTTTGTGTAAATTTTAATTATCTGAATATTTTTCAAACAATGCCTCAGAGATTTGAATGTCAGATCTGAAAGGCCCATCCCCGCTACATACTACTCTAACACAGAATTGTACATATTATTTAATTTGTATATATAAAAATAAAGAACATTATATATATATACACACACACACACACACACACACACATACATACATACACTACAGAAAATGTGCCATAACTTTTGCACAGGCCACATTTTATGGTTTGTACGTGAACTTCAGCAAATAAGCGGTAATCGTGCATCAAAATGTGCAGACGAGTGTTCTCTGTAGAGGACGTAGAGGAACTTATTTTTGCTGAGGAAAATCAACAAACCATCATTTCACCAGGGGTGCCAAAACCTTTGCACACAATCGTAATTTAAAACCCATCAACCTATTTTGTACTGAATACAGAACAGCGGTCACGTTACCTATATGACTTCCTTCTGTATTAGCTAACTAGCAGGAAAAAAACAACAATATTTTTGTTAAACTCCAAAAGTGTGAAAAACTGACTATTTAAAATAAAGGCTTTGTAATTCTAGTATAAATATGTGCCGAATATAATCCATCAAATATGACTGATCAATCCCACATTCGTTTTTCCTGGGCATCAGATCAGAAAATGAGTCTACAGCAGTTAGCCAACCCCTGCATTTTGAAAGAGGCACAAAAGAGGACAGCCAATCAGAGATCATTTATCAGTCTTAAAGGGACAGTAACAACAAGAGCCTGTTCAATTCTAAGGGATTCAGAGATGTTGGAAAGAGTTAACGTAAAAATGGTGCATACATATTAAAGTAATGTATGTCAAATGCACTGTGTCAGCCTCTTTAATGCTCCTGTGGAGGCAGGGAAATGAACAGCATATTTCTGGACTGTTACTGTGGCCTGTTTTCTTGGCCTACATACCACAGCCTCTTTGTTGAACAGCCTTCTCACACTTACCACATGAGCCTCCTGCCGTACACTTAAATGGTGATGACTCATTTTATTACAGGCAAATTATTAACATTGTTCCACACACAAGTTGCAAAACATCCAACAGAACACAGTCCTGATATTGCAAAAGGTTTTTTTTCCCCATTAAATGAAAATTAATTTGGTTAAATTATTTAATTTGGTGATAAAAACATCGTCACGAATTGTGCACTTTCTGCTGCCATTAAACAACAGCAATAGGAAATACTCAGATTTTGCCTTTCACTGCTGTAGTTTTACTGTTGGAGGACCTTTTAGCAAATTGGACGCTGACTTTTTGCCCAGTGACATCTAACCCCAGATAACAGCTGCACAGTGTTGTACATACCAATCAGGTAAGTGAGGAAGAGGTTATGGACCTGCTGTCCAATCCAAGCCACGACCACAAGGCTGCTGATCACGGACAGGAAGTACTATTGGAAGGAAAAAAAAACACAAGTCTTTCAAAACAGAGCAGAATGTGACTGTAACAAAGTTGAGTAACTATGTTCTAATTGTGCTGAATGGATATTGCTGATGCTCGTTTAAGGTGAGTCAACTGTGTCCAAACAAAAGGACATTTATCAGCAAATTTAACACAAAACTCAAATCAGAGCTGCAGTATTCAATTTAAATTCAGTCCTGCAAACATTCGCCTGATACAAGTCAGGAAGAATTGAGTAACTGTTCACAGCGAGACAATAAGACACTGTTGTTTACCATCTTCGGCTTCTCCTCCTTCAGGGCGAACAGGCGCTTCCACCAGCCGAGCACGCGGCGCTGAGTCTTCACCAAGTTCCCACAGATCTGGTGGAAGCGCTGCTGCTGCTCTGTGGTCCTGTGGTGGAAAGAGAGAATAATAAAAATATTAACAAAAAGAAGAAGACATGAATAACACCTTACATAAAAACGTTTAATATGCATTGTACAGTACTGCGCCGAAGTCCGAGACTCATTTAATTTCCAGTCCAAACGGCTATTTCTCAGCGCCATGAAAAAGGCAGCAAAGTATCGCAGTATATTTAACAGAAAATTAGAAGTTAACAACTGAATATAACATCACTTTTTCAGTAATTATTATAAACACTCTTTATTACAACTTCCATTCTTTTTGATTTTTTCCACACCTCCAAAGTTCAGTCTTAGAGGCTGGCTAAATTTTCTGCTTCTCACCATCAAATTAATTTCAAAACACATTCGGTGATGTTGAGGTCTGGACTCTGGGGTGGTCAGTCCACTGTTCTGAGAACACCAGCAGCATCTTGATTTGTCTATTTCCTTTTCTCAGTATTGGCTTCATCCTTTCAGACTCATAGACCCATTTTTCCTCGCTCTCAAAGACGAAAGCTTTAAGTGCTGTTTATCTGATGGGGCAGTTCAGGGGTCTACCAGGTCTTGCACGGTTGTTCAATTATTTTTGTAAACCTCAGTTTTGGAGAACTTTGTAGTTCTACAATTACAGACTGTAGTCCATCTGTTTCTCTGCATAATTTGTTAGCCCCCTTTTACCCTGTTCTTCAGTGGTCAGGACCCCCCATGTGCAGCAGCAGATGAGCCATCGTCTCTGACTTTACATATACAAGGTGGACTGACAGGGTAGGAGTGTCTAATAGAGTGGACAGTGAGTGAACAGTGTTTAAAAACTCTAGCAGCACTGCTGTGTCACACTAACACACCACCATCAGTGTTACTGCAGTGCTGAGAATGATCCACCACCCAAATAGTACCTGCTCTGTGAGGGTCCATGGGGGTCCTGACCACTGAAGAACAGGGTAAAAGGGGGCTAACAAAGTATGCAGAGAAACAGATGGACTACAGTCTGTAACTGTAGAACTACAAAGTGCACCTATACAGTAAGTGGAGCTGATAAAATGGACAATGAGCACAGAAACAAAGAGGTGGTCATAATGTTATGCCTGATCAGTGTATATTTATATGCTCTTCATGCAGGTTCCTAAACTCATATAAACCTGCTCTTCTGAATGTAAATAGGATAAGATACAGTGATCATCTTATAAAATCCCATACACAGCAGAAGCACTTCTGCAAATGAGTCCATATTTGCAGTGGGAAACTCGACTGCATATGTGCTTAGGCACTACTTTTTATTTCTGGACGTAAAACATGACCATATATACAGGAGGCAGAGGTTCAAGGACGCTGCCAGACTCTAAAATAAACTCCCACGCTCTGATCTATACTCCCTCAGCTGACTGTTCGGAGGCCTTTGCCTTCTGCAGTGCGTCTGCAGATAGCACAGCCCAAAGCAGCAGGGAGGAAACGACTGCTGAGTCAGTGTAGCGCTCCGTCTGACGCTGCACATCCAGCTGCACCTGTAGTCTGCCTGTCAGCACAACCAAGACACGAGCTGAAGGAAGGGGCAGTCACTGGGCAGACTCACCGCAACGGAGAGAGATAGAACGAGACCACTTTCACTTTTCTGATATCACTACTGGTCCCTTGAGTACTGATCTAATACTTTTTTCTTTAAAAACAATTTAAAGTGAGCTATTTTAACTGAAGCACTTCACTTAACATGGCCATTTATAAGTGCCCAGTTTAAGCTGCTCAAACACTCCGCTTACCTCCAGGAAGAAATACAGACAGGCAGTCATAACCAAAGGTTTTGAACACACTCAGAGCTCTACAGAGAACAAAACCATTGTGCCATAACTTTTGCACAGGCCACATTTTATGGTATGCAGGTTAAATTCAGTAAATAAACAGTAATTGTACATTAAAATGTGCTGAAGTATCTGTTCAGTAAAGGATGTAGAGGAACTTATTTTTGCTTAGGAAAATCAACAAAACATCATTTGACCAAAATGTGCCAAAACTTTTGCACACAACTCATTTCAAACCATTAACCTATTTTGTAATAAACACAGATTAATGGTCACATTAACTATAAGACTTCCTTCTGAATTAGCCAGCTAGCAAAAAAAACACTGCTCCAAAACTCCAAAAGTGTGAAAAACTGATTATTTAAAATAAAGGACTTGTAATTCTAGCATAAATACATGCCGAATATAAATCAATCTATATGATGAATCAATCCCACATTTGTTTTTTCTTGAGTATCAGACCAAAAAAACCAAAAGAAATCAAATGCATGGCTCCAAATCTACTCTGAAACAGATCAGAAGCAAACGAGCAGAGAACAAACTCTGAGTGTGAAGACTCTGCAACAACTTGTTTGTGCTGTACTTGAACCACCAGCACGATCAGAGATAACAGTTCTGCCTCCATTTGCAACAAGTGTGTCTAATGTGATATTTATATCTGCCACTGAGAGAAAGGAAGACCACTGTGAAGCTGCAGTTTGCGCTGTACACTTTGGTAACCTTGCTTACATCCTGGAGAACAAGATGTTCCTGACATTGTGAATAAATCAATAGTCACTATAAACGTGTGCCAAGCCTGCCCTTACTCTGGTGCCCCTGCTCACAACATGAGCGTACAAATGTAGAATTAAATAAAGCTTCAGTTTTTCTCTGTTGAGTGTGAAAATATGAGCAACGCTAAGAGTGTTAGCTTCTTTTAGCTTACGTCTCCTTGTGTCGGACTCTACGAAGTAAAGATCCTATAAATAGCAATCGCCAAGTTAACGTATCGCCCTGGTTTACATTCTGCTGCTCTTACTGCTTGTGTAACAGAGCTTGGCAACGTCATCTGGAAGAGCAAAGGATTCACTAAATTGTCTTTAGCTTCAGTTGGAAATGTTCCCAAAGACAGAGGATCCCTCAGTGGGCTTAAAACTGCTTAAAGCATCTCTATCTGTTTTTTGAATGCTAGAAAACAGGAAAGTCTATTACGTACATCTGACAGCCTCAAATACCATGGAATTTTACCACTGCTGCCAATGATTGTCTGTTATGTTTGAATTTACTGTACGTTGTGCCGTAATCTGAGCTGCTTCCATGCTGACAGGACCAAGGCCCGATCCCATTTCTTCTTTTTAGCCCTACCCCTCATTTTTGAGTGTCACCCTAACCCCTTGGAACAGTTACAAGTTACAAGGGGTAGTGGTTGAAATCTTGCCTTACGAAATGGGACCCTCAAATTAAAATTGCTTCATTATCAGGCTACTAGCGCTGCTCTGTGGGCAACCCAGCCCGTCTTCAGTGATAAGAAAGGTTCAGCAACCTCACTGCTGGGCTTTAGTTACATTTAGGGCATCACATGCTTTCAAAGAGGGAGTATAAGACAATTATTTATTATCGCCCATCGCTAATTCTTTGGTTGTATGAAGCTGAAGTCAGCTATAAAATTCTTGCGCGAATTTTCCCGTTCCACCTTACATGGTGCAAAAGTTGCATTCTGGCGCTTCAGGCGTCAGAACTGCTGGACTATTTAAGGTGGAACGGTAAGTTAGCTAGCTGGCTATCGAGACACTAGCATGCTATTAGCGATTTTTTAATGCTTGTTGTGAAGAAAACGACCATAACACACTGAAACTACATTAAACTAAGACAACTGTGGTTATTGTAATTTTTACAGAAAACTCTCACATTTGTGTTTTTTTTTATTCTCTTGCTCTCCATCTTGCCTGTTTGTCTTTTTTCTCATAACACTCTGTTTGCAGCCTCTGAAAAACCTCCGTTTGGAGGACCATGTAGCCCTAACACTTCGCTCTACCCCTCTATCTCAACAAGAACTGGGGCACCCTACCCCTAGATGTGAACACGCAAAACAGAGGGCTAAAGGCCAAGTGGTAGGGGTGAGGGCTGAAATGGGATTGGGCCCAAGTTATCCATCTGAAAGAATGACCAGTTATTATATTTATAAACAATCTGATATGGTCTATATCATATGTAACCGTTTATCTGCATTCCAGCACACAACTGTGAACTCCTTTTTAATTACACTGCCTTGTAAATCCTGTATTTTTTATATTTATTATGCGTGTCTTTTTGTTGCAGGGTCTGTCTGTCTGTCTGAGCATGCAGAGCTGAACTGATTTAACCTTTCTCTACAATCACGTACCATTTGTTGGAGCCGAAGATGCGTGGGGCGAGAATGGGCACTAGATAGTCAGCCAGGCACAGAATCATGACAGTGCAGGACAGTCCAGTCAGCACAGATGGGTCCAAATAGTAGATGAGCCTGCCAGAGAAGAGAGGGCATGGATGAAACAGGGGCTTTAAGGATTAAGACAACGCCAAGCTGCACAAGATTAAAGAATGCACCATTACGAGTTGTTTGTAATGCTTCTCCTCTGGAATGACAGTCATTTTTTAACAAAACCAACATTTTTTTTCCTCTCATAACGTCAATTACCAATATTATCAATGGGTAATATTAACAGAACATTCCTTGATTAAAATGAACACATACCACTACTCTTGTTACATTACATCACAAAATACGTTCTTATGAAAAAAGGCTGGCTCTGCGTACCCGAATTCACTTTAATCCTACAAATTAGCTCTTACCAACAGCAGCTAAGACAAGCCAAGGCCACTTAATACTAACAACTGTTGTACTGAAGTGTAATCCTGAAAAATATTTCTTTATAACCAAAACTATGCACAAACAATGAAAAGCAGCCCTAATCTTTAAAAACACAATAATCCATTGTACTGTAAACAGCTGCTTTAGCAAAGTGCTGGAAGGGAGGACTACGTAATCCTTTAAAATCTTCCAAATGTTTGGAGCAGCACAAGTCCAAAACGCATGCACAAGAGATATGCTGCAGTTCAGCTGTTTCTGGTCTGTATTATTAGCAGAGTTGAGTACCTTAAAACCACACAACTGAAATGCATTGTAACTTTGGTGAAATAACTAACTTACTGCAACATACATAATATATAAATATAGGCACATTTACACTCACTGCTCTCTCCTTTAGCTGCAAAAACTACACATCTGTGAGTGCAACTGTGCTTAACCTTCATTGCATATCCTTCATTTTACTTGTTTACAGTTATCTATTTTATAGTAGATACCAAGACCTTTATATGAGCTATATTAAAGACCAGTCAATTTACAGTCCTGCTTACATGCAAACCAGCATAGTCTGACTACATAACAGTTAACGTCCCCTTCATGACGCAGCCAAGATCATCCACATGAGTTTCCCACTGTTTGTTAGTTCCTTTTCTGTCTGACCATTTAAAGGGCCCATGTCACGGAGAAATGAATTTCCCCACACTTTGGTGAAATGAAGGAGTTCAAAGTAATATTCAAACACTGTTGAAGTTTCAAAACTTGGGTCACAATACAGGACAACCAATCAGTTTTTGGTGCATAAAACTACATGCATATAAAAAGAGGACCTCAAAGGAAAAAATATAAAATGCAAGAAAAATGTAGGACATGGGCCCTTAAATATATAATTATTCCTGATCCCAAAATGTTCAACATGAGGGACGTCTCTTCCTCTCTAAAAAAGCGCAGCCCTTTTGCCTTTTGGTGTCAAAAACGTGGTACTGCAGGAAAAAAAAACAAAAAACAAAACAAAACAAAACAAAAACAAAACAAAACACACACAACGTCACAAGCGTGCAAATATCGAAAATACCAGCCAGTACTGGCCTGGACCACATGCTGTAATCATGCTAATCTTAAGTTGATTAAGTCAGGCCATGACAATCGATCCCAGTTAACTGATATGCATGCAAAAGTAATTATTATAAAAAAAAATAATAAAAAAAAAAACACCAAACACATCTGATTATCTGATTAGATTAACTGCAGTGATAGATTGAGACATCTGAAACACATTTACGAGCAGACTGTTGGTAGGGCTGGGCGATAAAACGATAACGATAATTACTGCGATATATCTTTCCTTGATAGAACTATAAGGAATGTTCAATAAATGTTCGATATAATAGACCATTCCCACACTTCTGCGTTCTAGCGACAGCCCTAGTGGCATTTTTTACTGCCAAGAAAGCGACACTACTCTTGTCGCCACGAGAGGGCGCACTTCAGAGTTTTTTTAACATGTTTTGGGGGGCGGGGGGGCGGGGCGGTGTTTCAAAGAGTGAAATGAGTCACCAAACATACTCATGTATGAAACGTGGAGTTATACATTCCCTGTTTGAGTGGAGCGACCGGCGATCTGCTCTCCTGTGACCAAGTGTGAGTGACGAGATCAGTGGCGTAACTGTACTGACCTACAGTGAACTCGCCTGTTTCCCAACATCCTAAAAAGCTTTAGCAGCGTTAAATCACGTCTGATACTCACAACTCCAGCACTATTATAGCGCTCAGTCGCATTTTAGTATTAGTGTATTCCCAAGCAACAAAAGTGAAAGAAAGAAGTGGGTTCAAGCAACTTACAGCTCTGATTTAAACGAAAGTAAACTGAGGACGCTGCGTGTCTGTGTGGCATTGGAGAGTGGGAGAACACTATCTTTCCAGACTATCTGTTTTTAGCCGCTGGCTAACTTGAAGCAGCGCTCCAGTCACTCGCACAGCACGGCAAGTTAATGTTACTACAGATCAAACAAGACAAAAAAGCGCTGATTTCAGTTTAAACGTACCTAAAAGGAGGACTCTGTTTGTTTAGTGTTAGAGATTCACTCTGCAGTTAATGGTTTTACACAGCGAGCGTCAGATTTATTGTGGTTCACCCCTCAAACTACTACAGAGAAATCCAGACGTCGCTAGTTGGTGTCTGAATGCTGTGATATGCTCTGACATGGATGTGGTAGGACTGATGGCAGTAAGGCGGTGTGATCCATCACTGACGTACTGAGCCAGCTAATGTTTGCTGTTCATACTAAGTTGACATTGAGAAACTAAACAGTTTAGCACTGTTGTTGGCCATTTGTTTAGCATTTGTAATGGGATAGCCGAGCGCTCGTCACCAGACAGCTAAAAATAATCTGTTTTCTTTCTTAAAGTACAAATATTAAAAAAATTGTGGTTGTAAAAACAGCCAACCAGAAACTTTCTCCCACTCTCCCATGACAGACCTGTGAAATGTTCCACTGTTTGAGTGTTTGTCGTGTTCTGACCATAAAGGATAGTTTAAAGCAGCAATTAACCACTCAGGAGCAAAAACCAGCCTTCAAACTTGAAAGAAATCATGTTTTGACATTTATCGCGATATGTATCGATATCAAACGATATGAATTTTTTTTATTGTGATAACATTTTTGGCCATATCGCCCAGCCCCTAACTGTGGGTGGGTTTTGCAGTACGAACCGTAACTTATCTGTATACTCACAGGAAAAGCACTGAGGTGGCACCTATCAGCGCACCGGGGAACCACGGTTTCTCCCACCGCAGGAACTGGTCCCCGGCCAAAATGACCTCGCCCCATCCTTGCAGCTGCTCCTCGAGTTGCGCCGTCTCTTGGGCCTGCATCACATACAGGGCTCACAGTCAACAATGCAGAACAGAAATGATTTGTACCAGCGTTGTTCATCGATAACAGGCATTACATCCATGATAACACTCTATTCCATAAAATGACAGTGTCCATGTTGCCAAGCCAAGACATACACTGTTTAAGTTTCCCTTTGGTGTAATTTTAAAAAATGAGGTCAGCAAGAACAGCCCAAACTAAGGCTGTCAGGTTTGTATGACATCCTTTTACTATAGTAACTACACACAGGAAGCATGTGGAAATGGAAACTTAAATGTTATCCGTTTAGCTGAGATAAACTCTGTTAACTGAGAGACAGTGACACAATCGGAAAATACTGTGATATTTATTGTTAATGAGTACCACCCAGCACTAGTGGCAGTGTCAGAACAGTGACAACACCCAGTAGGAATGATGAAACAGAACAAGTTCATGCCAGCAAGGTAGCTGGGTGAAGAGTCACGTCTACCTAGAAGCACAACTCTATAATTTTGTCACAAGAGCCACTTAGGTAAGTAGAACTGGGCAAAATTGAAAAATTCAATATTTTCTGAATATATCATGGCTTCAGAAGATATTTACATCTGTGTTAATAAAAACCCACTGATGTAGAGGATAATACATACAGATTAGAAGCCACGTTAGCTATGTGACTTCCTCCTGAGTTAGCCAGCTAGAGGGGAAAAAAAACCGACACGCGTGTCCTCAAGTATCCGCCCCAACGCAATTGTAGTTCCTCACACCTTCAAGATACGGCGGGGTCCAAAAGTCTGAAACCTCCGGAGAAAACGCTTCCATTTTGCAATCCTTTCTTTTATTTTTCTAAGTTTTCATTACAAGTGATAAAATCAGCATAACAATTTGAGTGAAGAGTAAAATACTTGACTGTTCACATGAATTTTATAATGTCTTAGTATTTGGTGTCCTCTGATCAGCACATCAAATCCACCCAACTGCCTTCTGAACACTTCAATGGAAGGAAAAGAAGGGGGAAAAAAAAAAATCAGACCTTTTTGTCCATATGCCTTAACATGGTCAACTCCACAAACTTACTTTGATTTTGCATAACTTTGGATATTTCTTCATTTTAACTGTTACAGCTTTTCTCTGCTTTATTTTTCAAAGTTTCTAAAACTTTGTTGTTTATTTCCAGGCTTAAATGGGAAAAAATGTGGTCTCTGACTTTTGTACTCCACAATACATCATCAGATGGGCCTGCTCTTAGTCTCAAAACCGGAAACTCTCGTTCTAGAGCAGTGGTCACCAACCCTCCTCCTGAAGATCTACGTGACTGAGTTTGGTTCCAACCTGCATCAAAAATGCAGCCTCCTCCTTACCTCATGCTACTGCATCTGATCCAGCTAACCAAGGACTACTACAGTAGTTAGTTAGCTGGAGCAGGTGTGGCAGAGACTATTGCAATACCAGTGTTGGAGACAAGTAGGCGTGTTTGCAACACATGTAGCAATGGTTAAAACGTTCCTTTTGGCTGTGTCACTTGAACTACCACAGTAAACTGCACAAAATAAATAAAATAAATAAATAAATAAATAAATAAATGAAACCAACCACTTGACAACAGGAACACTAATATTTTACTGCTAAAAATGAAAAGCGATATCAGACTAAAATGGTTTAGACGATATATCACTCATCACCACACCTAACCTTCATTAGTCACAACACACACAGCTAAACAGGGGCTGGATCTCAAATAGCTCCTTACTGCCCATACAAAATAATGACCTCTACACCTAAATAGGATTTAACTCGACTTAATCCTGCGCTGTAGCCCCTTTTTATTTAGACTGAGACGTCCTCCGGCTAAAGCGTCATCATTAGGCCTGAGAAACGGACTGTATCCAGTGGTACTGCTATCAGAGCTTAATCTATGTGGACCATCTATCTGCCTTTAGTGGATAAAGGCCATTCCTGTGGATATCACTAGTGTTTATATCCACTGGAATGGCACGGACTATAAATGTTTATTCAAAATGTCCAGATTAGACATTGAACAGTACCAGATTCACCAACCTGTGAATCAGTACAGGGAGGACCGGGTTAGTACTACTGAATAACTGAGTTACCGTCTTCAGTTTCAAAGGTACAGAGTCCCCAAGGTGACAAGGTGATTATTTTTTTTTTAATAAGGTGTGGCTACAAATTAACAAATTAAGGCCACGAGTTACTATATTGAGGACATTAATTAATAAATCGAGGTCAAGAGTTATGAGACACTTAACTCGTGGCCTCAATATATAGCTTCCTTTTACTGGAGTAAAACTTGCTTTCTGCGTTCATCCAGAGAAAGGGAAGTAGGAGGTCACACCTATATGCTGTCTGCGACAGATCAATTCAGTCCCCACACCAAATCTCCTACGTTAATAATGAAAATAGTGCACATACCCGATGCTACACGGTGTTGTTATCGTGTCTCCTCTGCGGTTTTACACCCACATTCATTAGCATCAGTGTTTCTAAGCAGACAGTGAAATATCCGCATTTTCGACGAGGCTGAAGTCGGTTTCCTATTCGAATTTTCCCGTTCCACCTTAAGTAGTGCAGCAGCTACATAGTGGTGCTTCTTGCGCCTGAGTGCAGCTGCTGCACCGTTTAAGGTGGAACGGGAAAATTCGAACGAGAAGCTGGCGAATAAGAACAAGAAGCCAACTTCAGCTTCGCTCGCAATACTGAAGCGGGACAACACTCCTGTAAACATATTAAAACGTTTAACTACACAAAAACGGCCTACATTTGGCTTTTAGTGACAAAAAACACAAAAAATTAGGTTAAAGAATTTAGCAGCGACGCCAACGTTCATCCGCTCGGAAACAAGAGCCGTTAGCGCCAAGCTAACCTAGCTGGCTAATTATCGTCTGCTCGTTCGGACAACCTCTCTCACTGTGAAGCATGTAAATTATAACACTTACCAACTGATTAGAGCTTTTATTATCGCCTTCTGCCATTGTTTTATTATTTTTTTGTATGCTTTTTCTGGTGGTTTCAACCTTAACGTCCTCGCCCCGGCAGTGCGCAGCTCTCTGGCAGCTAACGGTTACATGCAGGATGTTTTTATCTGAAACTCAAGCGCAAAGCTTCTTGGGAAATGTAGTTTGCAGTTCTGCATGGCACATGCGTGCTGAACGTAAAATGACACATCAAAACAGGCGTTTACACCGATTAGCCATAACAGCAGAACCATCATCTTGTTTCTTCACACAGTCCATTTTGGCGTATATCTTTATTTAGACATCTAAAAAAAACTAAATTGGTTTAATAAAAAACACACTAGTTTATTTTATGCATGTCTCTGTTGTCGGATGAAAACCTCGTATCTCCAAAATGGTAACTTTACAGGAGTAGGAAAAAACCTGCTTTACCTTTAATGTAAGTCAATGGAACCAGACATCTTTCCAAGTCATTTTGGGCTGTTTCTTTTGGTCCATTCATCATGAAATTTACACACAATGTAAAGAATAACAGGTATTTTCAAATTATGTATGAGGTTTTGTTCTGACAGCAGCAATGTATTCAAAACAAAACCAAAAAAATAGTTTGTAATTCATACGTGGAGAAAACCTTCTTCAGTTCTGTATTTTTGTATTATTAAATTACTTTTCACACATTTACTGCTTGGGCATACAGAATCAAAACAGATTCCTAAATAATAGCTGGTTTGCTCACTATTGCTATTTTTTAACCAAGCTGGTGCTCTAATGTAGACTAACAGAGGTGGTATTATTAAGTATATTATAGGGCTGGGACACATGACAATATTTATCACTATCTTGATTAATATATTCGTCATAAAATTATTTTTTAAAGAAATCTAAAATACTTCCTAACTGCATGTCTAAAGGGCGCATAACTAGAGTTTAAGTGAATTTAGTGCAGTCCAGAATGTGAAATGTTGAATACAAACAATTCATAGCGGTCATAGTATTCTTTAAAATGTTGCGCTACTTTTTCTTTTCCAACTTATCAGAAAAAAATATTGTGGATCGCAAAAGCTTCTTAAAGTATTATATTACATTTTTGCCGTATCGCCCACCTCTAGTATATTATGCTCTTGAAGCTACCCACAGCATACTTCTAAACTATGACGCGCAAAGCTTCTTGGGAAATGTAGTTTGCAGTTCTGCATAGGCTACAGAGAAGCTTCTTCCCACAACCCATTACTCTCTTGAACCATTGAAATATTACACATGCACAAATATTCCATATATACCAATGTATTGGTATGTAGTATATATTGTATATAGTAACACTTAGCATTCCATCCTCTGTAACTACCATCTCAGACCAGCTTTTCCTTAATACCCCACTTATCTGACACGTTACCCCAATTATCCCTTTTTTTAAATCACTATACATCCTTTAACTGCTGCTGCACTCAGCACTTTAAGATAAGACACATACTTTGCACAAAGCAAGGTTTACAGGTGTAACTGTGTGTGTGATGGTCTGAGTGTGTGGTAGGAATGCACACTTATTTTATTATTTTTGTTTATTTACTACTGTAAAATGTGTGTCTGATACTGTGTACAGTGAGCTCCTGTAACCAAACCTAAACTCAGTGTATGTGTAAGCATACCTGGCCAATAAGGCTTGATTGTGATTCTGAACTAAAAAGTGAAAGCAGCAAATAAATGAACCACAATCCTAACGTTTGAAATCCAGGTTTATTTGGCAAACAAAACAAAGAGTAAAATCATTAAGAGACAATATTTTTTACCATCACCACAGCACTATTCCAGGACTTATTTCTCCCACTAAAAATGTAAAACTAGGTCAAGATCAGTAAAACGCAAGCTTAGTGGGGAATATGCATCAAAACCGACACACGTCCACAGGCAAGTCAAAAAAGGTGCAATCTAAACGGCTATTAAAGAAGGGAAAGGGAGAAAAATACCTACAATACACAACAAATCGCAGAGATGCATACTAAGGAAAAGAAAAACAAGCGTTTTGAAACTGATTTTGCACATTTTATCAGATTTGAGTCTGGGCCTTAAACGTTTTCCACCAAGTCTCATCCAAAGATCAATCAAAAGAACCTAAGACAGTGCATTTACCACCTTGAAGCACATCATTCACTCGTGCCAAACATTCAAACATTAATTTGTCCACCCCTAAGGCCGTCGCCGTGTTATGAATTTTTTTCCACTGAATCGTGAAATTCCTGCGAAACTTTTAGAGGCATGTAAAATAAGTTTTGAATAAAGTGAAAGGGATGGGGAAAAAGTCTTGATTACAAATGTGTCGAGAGATTAAAGGTCTCTCTGCCAACGGCCATCTGGCTTTGAATGGAGTCCCGCTTGAACCTTCCACACCTTCCCCAGCACACCTCAGCTTCAGCCGCTGCAATCTCGCCATCCCTGAGCCATCCAAAAACAGAGGCCAGAGGATCCTCAGAGGAGCGGACATCCCAGTGTCCCGTCTCCTCTTTAGCGAAGTCCAGAGACGTGCCACTCAATGCGTCTCTCTGCTCTAAAGAGAACGGGATTAGGAGTCATCGTTTTCCTGCAAAGTATTTTCCTGCGGCAAATCCTATTTATTGATAGTTGACAGAAATTTTTATTGTTGATGATACAGGGGTTGGTTGGAGGGGTAGTTCAAGCTGGGATGCCTCGTTCTCCCCCCCACCCCCCCTCCCCGTCTCGGTATGCTCCCCACACATCTCAGGGAGACAGATGCAGACCCATTTCGTTGGTGTTAGCTGGATCGCCGGGTGCAGCTGTGCTTACGGGGATCCCGTGTGGGCGCGCAGGAGGGCCTCTACACCCCCCCTTTCCCGCATGGTGCTCTGTGGCTCTGACGCCCCAGACCCAGTGGATTCTGGTGGATTTCTACCCTCGCTGGACCGAAGTGATCTACAAGGATCCCGTTCACACCCACGCAGTCCATCCTTCGTACAACTGGGCCAGGTTGTCCAGGTTCGTAGCCTCTTTGATGACATAATCCACCTGCGAGACGACAAGAGAGACAAATTAGCACAAAGACAAATGAGAACATCTGGAGAAATCCAAAGTAGGTCAATAATGCGCTCATTAATGCTGTCTGACTGACAAGAAGCCCGTCATTAACCCATGGATTATGACATTAGCGTGTTAGCATGGCTGAAAAGTCCCTCCAGAAACTACAATTAAGCGTGCAGATGTGTTGCATATTACTTGCAGTAAAAATAAACATTACCCCTTTCTAAAGAAAACAATGTTTTGGTGCTCTGCATTTCTTTTAATTGTCAAGAAAAATGAAGAAATGATAAGTGCCTGCTCAGTGACGCTCATTCTCCTGTTAGGGTCCATGTCCCTTCCCTCCAGTTTCGCCTTCACTCTCTTCCAAACACTCACAGCATATGAGTTCCTCTCTTGTACAGCTGAGGGGGGGAAAAAAAAAGAAGTTCATAAACCTGGAGTTAGAACCCCTCATTGCTTGGGTTATTCAGAGACATTACATCAGATTTGGCCACTCGTTCCATTACAAACTGGCTTAAACCAAATCAACTGCATTCAAACCAGATTCAGTGTCTCAACAAAAGACACAAGAAGTGACTTGAGATGCACAAACCTCTCCCAGTTTTAGGGTCCCTCACGGCTCTCTTGGGGCTCGGGGCCAGGCCTTTGGTGGCAATGAGCAGGGTGCTGGGTGGGGTGTCTGCTGGGGTCCCAAAGTTTCGAGGAAGGGCTTTGCGAGCATTCTGAGACATGCTGTCAGGCTGAGTCTTCACTGCACTGCAACGCACCGCTGTACAGATACGGAGAGACCACATTGTAATCGGACCATACGTTGAAAATCTCTTTACAAATTTCAGAAATACTACTAAACTACTACCGTAAATAACAATAAAAATAATAATAATGTTCCTTACCAGCAGCAAAGCTTGTCTGCACTGTTGAAGTGGGGCTTGCACAGTCACTTCCTCTATCAGTGACCAGGGGAGAAGCAAAACCAACCAACCCATTGTAGATGCTGCATTAACAAGAATCAGAAAACGGTTAAAGCACACCATCTATTTTGTTCTTCAGGCATCATCAGTCCAGCTTACATCAGTCATTTTAATTAGCAAAACAAGACACTTGATGCTGTGCTTTACAAATGATTGTACCACAGTTAAGGGGTGCATGAGGCAAAGGATTTAAAAGATCAACACAAACATTTAATAAATAATTTAATAAAGGCCAACAAAAACTGCTGTGAACAAACTGTTTGTTAAATCAAGCAACATGACGGTAAAAGATAATTAAAAACAGAATTTGATGGACGTGTGTGGTCATGTGTCTATCAAGCATTTCACAGCTTCTCATATGGCTCAGAATTTAAAACCAGAACTCTCCGTTTAAACACAATATACACGTACAAAGAATGACTTGTAAATGTATTTTGCCAACATTCTCCTCTCCTGATGTTAACTGGGCAGTAATGTGTACGTAAGCAGTATCTCAATCCACAAGGCTGATGTGGTTTTGTCCCTTCCATACAGCTTTAACAAAACTGTTGCCCAACAGTCTCTCTGTGCTCGAATCGGCGAAACTTACTGAGAAAAAGCTAAAAACCAAGAGAAAGGTAACCTAGGAAGCACAACTGAACTAGCAAGAATGTCCATCTGTCCATTCATTCAGTTAAGCAGCCACACCAGTGTTAAACGGACGCACATCCAGCAGTAAAGGCAATAGGCCCTTTTGGTGTTTCCGCATTTTTTCTGCTGGAAGTAGTCGTTGCAGGGTAACGTCGAGTTGAGCACGTACAGCTCACTCAAGTGTTCGAGTTTGAAGCAAAAACAGCCTCATCTCAGTTTCAGTGGTTTCTCAGCTGACGATGAGCAGAGGAAAACAGGTTTGTGCAATTAATAAAGGAATAAACTTTGACATACGGAGCAAAAGAACCTGTGTCTGCATTTCACCTCTGTTGACTAACGTTACACTGAATGCAGTTCGCGCTTTAAAGCTGCTGCTACAGGCATTAGTCATTCATTTTCTCCCTCATTTCTTCCTCAGCGGAGAGTAGATGTTCGTAAGCCTGTGCCAATGGTTCCACCTTAAATGGTGCCTGAGCTGCCAGAATGTAACTGCTGCACCATTTAAG